GTAAAATATTACAAGGAACAACGATGAAAGCGGCCAAAATAAATGTTTGTTTATGTCTTTGCAATGATGCAGTGACCATCGTATCTAAAGACCTATTATGTAGAAAACTTTCTCTGACAAAGAAATTTTGTTTCTCTTTGTCATGTTCTGTTTTTTTTTGCTGAAGTTTAATAGGCATTTTGTTTTTTTCATCATTCTGCATAGATTCTTGCAAAATCTCCGTTCCATAATTGTCCGTTTCTTCGCTTTACTTATTGCATCGTAAACGACAATTTGGGCGTTTGCAAATAGATTTATCTTTTGATCATTAATTTATTTCTCAAAATTTAGTGCTTCGCGCTTCGTCATTTAGTATGAATTTTTCTTGCTTGAAAATCATGTTTGCTGTCGTGACACAACTGTTTAATGATTCAGTCATTCAGGTAGTTTCGATAACCGCCTTTCGTCTCTTGTGGTGAAGGCAGACGCGTCACACGGTGTCTCCATCGTTCTCCACGCTGAGCTAGCGCTTGACCTTATGCAGAAAGTAATCAGTTTGCGAAGTGTCTTCGGCACTCGCCCCAGGCCATTCCTAACCTTCTCTGGGCTTATCAGCCAGTCGGTTGAGCGAGTAATAACTGTTATACATCTTTAAATTTATTTATCTGTACGACTATCGAAACCATCGCAGCTACAATTGATAACACCGTCTTTGTTATTTCAAAGGTTGAATTTCGTACTGTAAAATACCATAACTCTTATTCTTGTTTCTTCTAATAGCGAAAGGTCTGTCCAGAATCGCGGAGAACATACTGTCCTACCTGGATGCGGTGTCGCTCTGTCGGGCAGAGCTTGTGTGTAGCGAATGGCGCCGAGTCATTGCGGACGGTATGTTGTGGAAGAAGCTCATCGAACGAAAGGTGTGCTCTGATTCATTGTGGAAGGGCTTAGCCGAAAAACGTCAATGGTTTGCAACTCATACTTTTCATGCAGGTTTCTTAAATTAATTTCTTAGGATCCGCTTTTTATTCTACAGAACTCGACCCGGAGAGCTACAGCATCCAAACGGCTTTTACAGACAGCTTTATCCGCAGATTATTGAAGATATTAAAGTACTCAATTCATACATCTCAGCAGTTTTGTTTAACACTGCCCATCTTTTAGAATATTGAAAACAACTGGCGGTGCGGCAGACATGTACTGCGCCGCATTAACTGCCGGTCTGAAAACAGTAAAGGTGTTTATTGCCTACAGTACGACGACAACAAAATCGTTTCCGGTTTGCGCGACAATACCATTAAGGTGATGTTTTGTCATATTGATAATGACATTTTATGATTTGCTGTATATTGCTTTCGAGATCGATTAAATCAGAATAGGAAAGATCAGTTACATAAATAGCAAATACTGCATCATAATAGGAACATTGTAACATGTGCCACAATTTGTTTAAAAGGTTTTTTATTGAAGATTTTCATTATGCTCTTTTTGGGATGTAAATGCGCAACATGGATGGCATATTTCGTTTTATTTGCTGTTTTCTTATTTAACTCACCCTTTTCTTCCTGTCAGGTTAAGGCATACGCTGAAATCGTCTAATTATATTTATTTTCATTCCTAGCACTTTCTGGTTTGTTGACAGATTATAGTAGCTTCGAAAAGTACTTTTCTTTTGGAGCGGTTCCGTTGTTCGTTCCCATTGTTCTTTACATATCGCTTTCGGTCTAACGACAATAATCATCTTGTCCATTGATGGGTTAAAACGCTCCCAAGTTTCCATCAAAGGTATCGACGATACCCCTCAATTTGTCCACTTCTCAAATATATGCACAACAGCTTTCATACCTTAAGTACCGTTGCTTCACTTAGTTATTGCCATAATAACTAGAGACTTTGCTTGCCGTTTTCTGTGGTCACACGCAGTTATTTGGCTTGGCCGTTGCCTGTCTGTGGGAATTAAGACATTAGCGCTGAGGTTGAATTTATGTTGGGCGTTTATATAAATCTGTAAAATACGAACATTCAGAAAGTAAGCAAGACGCTTAACACAGAAGAGAAAGTCATTAGACTTCAAAATTAAGCCTTCAGCACAACATCATCAAAGGAGTGAGTTCGGTGTTAGGACCGCTGCTCTAACGAACTATGGCTCTTAGCACTCGCGGACCAGCCAAATTAGCTATTTTATTCATTTATCTCGTACTCTATCTCAGTCACAAGGAAAGCGACGACGGAGTTCCTTTGCGCATGTTTACAGTTGCAACGAAGGCACTATGCATGGGAACATCTGTTTACAGTCTCTCCACGTTGTCGAACAAGGCAGTTCTGCACCGGTCGATTCGGTCGCCATTAAAGGACAATTTATTGAGCGACGTTCTCGTTGTGGACGAATTCATTTCATCTTATGTTAAAGATCTGTCTCTGATTACCCATACGCATGGCCTGAAGGATGTTTGCGTTCGTTTTTTTTGCAGCGTCCAGGTCTTTGTTCCATACAGCAGAATGGACAAACTGCAAGTCTGCTAGAACCTAACTTGGTACGCTGCAAAAGGACACTCGTTGACCGGGTGCCCAACATTGGCGTTCATGGTTGAAGCGGCGAGGCCAAGACGACGAAATAGCTCAAGTTTGCAACGCCGGGATGAGTTCTGCAAGTTCTCATCTCAAGTAGGTAGCAGAACTGTTCTGCACCTTCAATAGTCTGTCCTGAACACGTAAAGGTTGGCAGCTACAATGCATAGGTTTTGTACAGGTTACAGTTTTGTTTTGTCAAAAACTCATTGGGTTCTTAACTTGTTCGACGTCTTGTTGAACGCTGAAAAATTTTGGAGAAGCAGCAAGAATCTGATGCCCTTTGCATGTGCAAGAGCCATCTGAGGTGTCAACAGGGAGGTTCTAGCCCTGCGGCATGTGCTTAAGAGGATAGAAGCAAGCACGCAATCCTGTTCCGCTCCCAACGATATGGCAAAGCTTTTCGAGAGAGCTCTGTCAGTTCGTGTACGCTGATGGCGTTGATCGGTGAAACATTAAATAGCAGATCCAGTACGCTGATGCCCCTGACTGCTGAGTACAGTGTCGATCTGTTCAGTGAGCCTAGGACCGACTGAAGATGTATGTAGACTACATGAAATGATCGATTGAATTCTCAGTGTATCCCTATGAATGAACTTAAAGTCACAGTCTGATGCGTTGTTCAGCAGTCGGCAGTGATGCTGAACTGAGGCGGTCGAGATCTTGCCGGTCAGTGGACATGCGCGTTGACTTTGCTCTTCACTCAGAGCCTTCAGTGATATTCCGTTGTTGGTCTCGATGATGGCATCCTTCCATTCCCGTGACCCGTTTTTTAAGAATAGATGGAGGAGTCTCTACCGATCAGTATGACAACAACATTTCAGGAACAGCGATAGTATGAGATCAGAACCGGCTTCTCAGCCATATTTGAGTTTGTGGATGACTACAGTGTCTTCTTTCAGCGTAGGGTGGGAATATTGGTTTCTGGATCTGGGTTTGAAGTGGTGGAGGCATCCTTTAATCCGTGGCATGGCTCAGCTACAGCAAAGTTCACGTCTGATCCGTAGTGCTCCAACGATCGGGATGATATTTCTGCAGCTGAAATGTAATCGATCCCGTCCAACTGTTTGATTGGTGCTGTACATGGTCGCATGATTCTCAATGCAAGGAGTTTTTCGCTTGGTATGATTGCCTGAGGTTGTAGTGCCGCCACATGCATTCCTCTGCCTCATCTACTACACTGTTGTATGCCTCACTTTCTTCCTTTCCTTTAGCCTTGTAGGTGTGTTGTATACTCCACTGTTCACGCGATTCCCCATTTTGTAACTCTGGCTTTCAGTAGCAGAGTGTCAGACGTCTCGTTAGAGAGTCACTGTTTAGCGTTTAATGTCAATAAGCATGCTTCCTGATATAGTGATATACGAGTGGGATTGTCTAATGATCTTACATCATCGTAATTGATTAATTATGTGGTCTAAAGCAATTGCCGATATTGGTGGCTCATCTACTTGGCTCTTCTGGGAGGGGGGGTTATGATTAGTGAGAGCAGCCGCTTTTGCTGTGGCTCCTTATTTTTTGTCTCTTTAAGGTCAGGAGCTGGTCGATATTTTGATCGTGTGAACGTCGCTGCAATACTGCGTCCGCTGATGAATTCTATGGAGACAGAACCACATAAAGTAGCGAAGTGGCGATCTGTTTTTGTTTGGAACAGTGGAAATGAAAATATCGATGAACTGCTACAAGAGAGGTTCAGTGTTGCACCCGTCACGTAACCCTAACTCTGAGCAGTGATACAATTGACTGTTTAACTCTATGTTCTTCAAAATTCATTTTGAGTCCTGCGGATTAAGGGAGAAGATCGGTCACTTAGTAGATTCACTGCAGGCGAGACATCTGTGACCGTATAATGGCTAGCTAATCGTGCAGCTGTCTATCCTCCATGTCGACAGATTACTGTAGACCATTTTTTGACTCCACTCCTTATCTCAGATTTTTTTTGAGGGGTGTGGTGATAATCGGCTAACGTATTAGCAAGTACTCTTCGCTCCACTTCCTTGTGACATAAAAGACCTGCATTATTTCTGAA